GCTGGTGACCTGGGCCAGCCTGACATCAAATGAGGGCTGAAGAGACCTTCAGTGATAGGCTGCCTCCATGCCCCTGGAATGGCAGGTAGACAGCATTCCTGACTGTCCTTCTGGGGCTCTATGGCCACCTCTCCCTGAGGTCTTGGGTCTATATACTGTCTACCTCTGGCTGATGTTATTAACAAGGCCACCATGTCTCCTAACTTTAGCATTTGAGTATGCCAGGGTGCTGGTATGAAAGCTCAGGTATAGGCCTGTAATATTCTAGTGCTTTCTGGTTTGACCAGGTCTTGTGGGGTGGGCTCCCAGGAGGTAAGGCCTTAGCTATTACCTTGACCAGCATTCCTGCTGCACTCCTAGCCCCCACCCCAGGTTCTGGCTTGTGAGAAGAGGCTGGGCCAGATTTGTAGGTCCACCTATCCATGGAGAATGTCCGGAATGCTCATGACCTCAGTAGGTGAGTCCTGGTGTTTGCTTAATGGGATTCCTGGCTAGCTCAGCCAAGGGCACCAGGCACGTGGGGCCAGGAATACACACAGCAGGGCAAAACAAACTGCTAGAGACCCAGGCCTGAAGGCACACAGACTCGAACAGGCTTGGACACGCATCCCTGCCCTTGGGGAAATCTAGGCCAGGACCTTAGGCCTAGCTAGGAGAGATGACACTGGGGCTACCTCTAGCCTGCAAAAGGCTCACTCCCAGGAGGCTTCTCCAGCTGAAGTGGGGTGAGGAGCAGGAATCCAGAGAATTCATTGCTGGTGAAGATGGAACACCCTGGCTCAGTAGGTGATTTACTGTAGCCATTTTCCGGGTTGACGGGAGGCCCAGCATGCTAGAGTGTTTGGTAGGTTTGGCAGTGGAAGGGGAGGAGGCCCTGGCAAGACAAGGAGGGCGGAGGAACTGGCTCCAAGTTCAAATTCCAGCTCTACATGCTGAGTGACCTTGGGGAGGGGTCAGCTTAATCACCTGGGCTCTTAGCTGTCCTCGTGGGAGCTGGGTGTGGCCCTGGGATGGGATGGGGGAGTCCCTTGGGTCCTGGCTGGGTCCTACTCTGGGAACAAAGTTCAGGGATCATGAGGTGGTAGCAACAGAGGTTGAGATGGACTGAGAAGATGTTGGTGAGAGGGGATGGCTTCACCTGAAGAGACTCAGGCAGGCTGGGTGAGAGTGACGGGCCAACCAGTCCTGGGTAACAGACAGGTCTAGTAGAGGTCTATGCACAGATAGGACCACATAGAGTCTAGGGTGGGAGGGGCCCCAGCAGTGTCCTGCCTCCCTCAACAGCCGAGGAAAGCTGCATAGGGGAGACGTAGAGAGAGGGGTCTGTGGACATGCCTTCCCCTTCACTGTCTCCGGGGATACCTTCTTGTAGTAGCACAGACTTGTCAGTCCCAGGGACCTAGGTCAACCAAGCTGTGGATGTCAGTAGGCCCTTCCATTTGCTGATCTCCCTCAACTACAGGATCTACTTCCAGCTTCTCCCCATTCCCCCGAGACTCCACACCCCAACTTTGACCTGGAGACTGACCCAGCCTGATGTTTTCCTGGCTCTTAGTTTCTTTTGGGCTCAGACAGGCAGGAAAGGCCAACTTTCAGGTACTGGGTGGTATGCCCACATCAGAGTCAGACCCTGAAGGAGGTCCAGCCTGCTGGATGGAATGACGGCCCTTCCTTCCTCACTACCTCTCTTGTCAACTGTCAGGTTCCCCTCATCCGCCCCAGGGCTGGGAAGGGGCCGGGACCGGGGCGAGTGAGTCACACACACACCACTGGCTTAAAAATATCACTGAACACTGGCCTCCGCCCCGCTGCACCGACGGGGCCTCAGCTGAGCGGTTCTTGGGCTAAAAGTCCAAGGGAGGCTCGGGCCCAGCCTCTCTCCCAAGTTCCTACGCCCCAGGCCCCACCCGCAGCCCCCAAACCCCGGTTTTGCTATCCCCAGAGTCCGGTGATGCAGATCATCCCAAATCTCACACTCGGATGTCCTCAGATCCGGTGCTGGTTGCCCTCCAAACCCAGAGTCCAACCCAGAGTCCCGGGCCAGAGACCCACATCCCATGACCACTCTGGGAAACTGAGGCCCAGATTGGCAAACTCCCTGGCTGAAGCGCTCACCTGCTCTCAGGCAGCCAGTGCCTGCGCTTGGCTAGTCCCCTAGGTCAGTTTGTCTGCCGGCCGTCTGTCAGAGCCTCAGCGGCTGTGGAGCTCCCTCTCCCCGGACAGGCGGGACCTCTGCTGGGCCGGATAGGCCGGGGCGGGGCTGTGAGAGGAGGAACCTGAGCGACAGGTTACCCAGTCACCCGGGAGTGGGCACCAGGGAGGCTGAAGGAAGGGGGCGGGCCTGGGGCACCACTCCCCCACCCCCCACCCCAGCGCAGCACAGTTCCTCCTCCCTCGCCTCGGTCTGTCCTCCCAGCGGTCCCCAAAGCACCTGGGGCCCCTTCGCAGCTGGCCCTGAAGTGCAGGGTGCGGCCGGCCCCAGCTGCTCTTACTGGCTAAGCTGCAGTAGCAGGTGGAGACCTGGACCGGCTTGCATGAGCAGTATGGAAGAAGTCTATGAGGGTTGCAGTCATGCGGAGCTCTCAACCAAGCACCTATCAGGTGCCCTCCGCCCCCAAGTTGCACTGGGACAGAGCTCTTCAGTTGGTCAGTCTGGGGGTTGGGATATTGGGTTCAAGGATATTGGGTGGGGGCCTTTCCATCCTTCACATAAGAAGTTCCTCAAGTCTCTGTCCAGCTCGAGCATCCCCTGAGGGATGGGCTATTTATGGAGAGGCTGCCTGTCCCCACCATGTTGACCCCAGAATACCCTGTCCACTCTGCTGACAGCTTTCGCCAGGATTGGGTGAATTTAGAGCTGCCAACTAGCCGGCTAGGAGAAAATAAATGGAGTTATGGCCCTCTAGCCAAGGGTACTGCCCTTATGTGAACAGGGACCCTAAGGCCCCGGCTATTGTTCCCGGAGTTGGGACAGAGGAAATGGGTGCTGCCAGGAAGTCAGGGTCCCAGGCTACAGTTCCAGAAGGCAGGGCCCTGGCATGTTTGTCCCGGGCAGGCAGTCAGCACTTCCCAGGACACAGAACTCTGCCCCATAGGGCCAGCAGCACTGTCTGGCCCACCTGACACACTCTGGGACACCACAAGTAAGCTGGACAGAGTGGTGGCAGAAGTGGACTTGGTCCTCCAGACTCAGCTCCTGATGAACCTGAGAGGCTTCCTTGTTCCCAGCCCTTATGCTGATCTCACAGAACTGGCCCAATCTTGCTCTGCCTGTGACCTTGCCCTGGTACAGCAAGCAGAGGTCAAGTGCTCAGCTGTGTAATGGGAGGGGCAGGTACCTGTGTCGGCCCTGACATTCCTGGGCAGAGCTGGGAGAGGGTAAAGTGTGGGGAATGTAATGCAGCTCAGGTGGGGCTCCCAGTGCTCACTGACTTCATTGTGTGGTGGCCCAAGCTGGTGGCAGTAGCTGATGTCCAATCTAGGCCACCTGAAATACCACCTCCATGTGGCCAGTAAGAGTAGAGGTGTTAAAGGCTTGAAACTCTGTGTGAAGGTGACAAGCTCCCTTCCCAACAGAGGTCCTGACTTGATCTGCAGAGAGTGGCTGAGCCCCCTCCCACTATCCTTAGCCCATTCTACATACCCAGGTTATACTTGGTCAAGCCACAGGGCCAGTGGGGAGGGAAGTGCCCCTAGGATTTCTAGATCACTGGTCCTTCCCAAGCCTGCCTGTGGGGCAGGGACAACATGCCTCCAGGCCATCCTGTTATTCACCGTGGTCTCTGGGAGATATGGGTTAAAGGAAACCAGCCAAGGACCAATGGGCATAGGTTCCCTGGTCCCAGAGAAGGCTACGGATGCCCCAGCAGCCTACCATTCTCAACACACTCTACAGGGAGGCTTCTGTATAGTTACTGGGGTAGAGGCTACAGGACAAGTTCCAGGATAGGGCTGAGAAGCAGCATCAGGATGGGCTCCTCTACACTGGATCCTGGGGGAAAGGTAGGTAGTTATAATTAAGACAAAATCAGCTGGGCATTGGTGGGGCACGCCTTTAATCCCAACAATCGGGAGGCAGAGGCAGGCAGATCTATGAGTTCGAGGCCACCCTGGTCTACAGAGTTAGTTCCAGGACAATCTCCAAAGCAGTAGAGAAACCCTGTCTCGAAAAACCAAAAGACAAGATCATGACAGCATAATTTATTTTTTATAAAGAGAAACTAGACATTTGAACATAGTATCACAAACAGAAAACATAACAGAAACAAACGAAAGAACCTGTTGGTTTTTTTGTTTTTTTTTTTAAAAAACCCTGCTTAAATATTTTTTAGGAAAAAAAGGGCTAGGAATAGAAAAGCAAGAGATGAGCTGGAATTTACTCGGCACTTGACAAAAGCCACAGTTTAATGGACTATGACTGTGACAGATTCCTAGAAAGCTGTTCTTTCATTCTGTCCCCTACTGCCCCTCCCCCCACCGATGGCTGAAGTGAACATTACAATACACAGTTCTCTGACCTGCTTTCTTCTTCTTCTTCTTTTTCTTTTATGTGCATTGGTGTTTTCCCTTCATGTGTGTCTGTGTAAGGATGTCAGATCCACTGGAACTGGAGTTATAGACAAGTGTGAGCTGCCTTGTAGGTGCTGGGAATTGAACCTGGGTCCTCTGGAAGAGCAGCCAGTGCTCTGCTGAGCCGTCTCTCCAGCCCCCTACTTTTCTTTTCCTTTTTAATAAAACGTGTAGCCCAGGCTGGCCTCAAACTCATGATCCTCCTGCCTCTGCCTCCTTCAGTAAATTCTACCTGTGTGTGCCACCCCAACAGGCCTTTTTTTGTTTTTGTTTTTAAAGACAAGGTCTCACTATGTAACCCTAGCTGACCTGCAATTTACTATGTAGACCAGTTTGGCTTTGAACTTACAAAGATATGCTTGCCTTTGCCTCCTGGGTGCTGGAATTAAACGTGTTTGTGTGCCGCCATACCTGGCATACATGTGCTTTTGTTTCCTTTTGGAAACCAAACAGTTTTATTCAGGGAGTCCACTTGTGGGGACACTGGAACACAAGGCCAGCCAACCTGAAGCTCCAGAGGGATTCCAGGCCTGGGAACAGAGTACAGCAGGTTCTCAGAACAAGAACCAGGGCCAGTGTGGGAAGCACGGAAGTCAGTAATTCCTGTGTGAGAAAACACTTGTGACACACCAACACAGCCACGTCCTCCTGCCAGGATGCTGCATTTCTGGGGCTGAGACAGGGTGGAGCTGCTGGGCTGCCCCCAGCTGTTGACTTCCTGAAAGGCTTTGCCTTCTTCCACTGGCCTGGCCATCACTGGTGGTCCTGTTGCTACAGCCAGAACCCCAGATGAGTGGACATCTCTGGGACTGACTGTCCATGATGGTTATCTTCAACATCTAGGCTCCTAACAGTTTTTCCCTCCCTGGTTCCTGTACCCACCTAACTAAAAAAGATTTATAAGCCATCTAAACCCATCTATAGACAATCAATCCAAAAAAAAAAAAAAAATACCCTTTGTGTCTGGGAGCAAAGGAGATGGCTGGAGGCCGAGGAGCACTGCTGTGTAGGTTATGCTGGTCTGTCTACCTGATGAAGTCAGCAATGACCACCACCTGCAATCCAGCCTCCAGCCCATGCAACACCAGGAGAATGGTGCTGAGGACTGAGTCCAACCACAGCACCAAGGTCTGCCAGAGCAAGAAGTGAACAGAAAGGAGACCACTGACTGCCGTGAATGCCAGGCTGGCTGCCAGTGGCACTTCAGTCTCTGTCAGGTTGCCTTTTGTGCCTGAAAAGAAAGCAAACATAAGAGTGAGACAGGGGCTACAGGACATCCCACCAACTGCCCAGCTCCAGGTATTGTGGTTGCTAAGGGTCGATGAATTCATGGTTTTTGGGAAAACTGCCCACTGGGGTCACTCCACGTTTGAGAGTACCAACGGGTAAATCTCAGTCTGTACTCTTGAGACACAAACAGTGTGGTTTTAAAACTGTGGGCATTTGCCACCTTTTTCTAAATCCAAGTGGGATCAAACGGATTTTGTTTAAAATATCTAAAAATATTTTACTCTGGGTTAAGGCAGGCTGGTTCTGGAAAATTTCATGAATACTCATGAAAAACATTACAAACAAATGGGTCAGTCATGGAAAATGCCAACTTGGAGCTGCCAATAGTTGGCCAGCTACCAGAGGTGCCCAAGGGTCTGCTGACCCCAGCTGCTGGAGGAATCTGAAGGTCCTCTGGCCCTAGCCCTGGGCATCTGATTATGCCGACTTTAGTGGATGGGGGTGGTGGTGCTTAAGGGCCTGCTGAGTGCCAAGTGCTTGGAGAGGGCCAATGTTGACAACTCCACAGGGAACTGTAAAGGGTTGGGCTGACCGCAACAACGGTCTCTGCATCCCATAGGCAATACTGCCTACTGAGAAAGCTGTGTAAACTCCAACACAGTCCATGGCAGCAGACACTGGGGCTCTATCTAAGATGATACTTGTTACTCCCTGCAGAGGGAGAGAGGAGGTACCAGATCTGATTAGAAGAGAGGGATCAGAGCCTGGTAGCACAATGTACCTGGATGAGGTGCCTTCTTTACACATGTCTGTGACTGAGTATAGGAAAGAACAGGGGCAGAGCTAGAGACATAGACATGTGATCATCACTGCAGCCAGCTCTGGGAGGAAGACTTGCATGCTTTACCGTTTGACTCCTTGTCTATTACAAGAACCTACCTGTTCTGACCCTAATCCTGATCTAAATGAACTGTGTGACTTAGAGAAAAAGGAAGGGATGGGAATACAGTGCTTGCCTAGCATGCATGAGGCCTGGGTTTGATCCTACCAATACATAAAAACTGGACATGATGATGCATGCCTACAATTTCAACACTCAGGAGAAAGAAGGATCAGGAGTTCAAGACCAGCATTAGTTACATAAGATGGTCTAAATAAATAAATGAATAGATAAAAAGAGGCAACTGGCAAAGAGTGGTCTCAAGGTGGGAACTGATGTGACAATGAGTGGGCTTGGGGAAGCAGGGTCCCCTGTCTTTGCAGGGATCTGGCAAACACTCCAGACCCCTGCTCTACCAGACTTTCTCCCTGACTGCTGAAACCAATAGGGATGAGGGGAGCTCAGGGAAGCTTTCTGGAGCTCTAGCTTTAGGCTGGGCTTCTGATCTGAGCACAGCTGTAGTATATATCTCCGTCCAGACAGGAGGCTCTCACCAGTGTCAATTATTCTTGGAGTAAAGCTTCTGAACAAATGCTTAATTCTTAATGACTCTGTAAGGTGATGATGCAAAGTACCTGGTAAAGCTGCCTGAATGGAGATGTCTCCAAGACCCACACTATAAAATGATTAATATTTAAAGGTTCAGAAAGTTTGAAAGAACACCTCTGGGGCCAAAAGCATTTTATGCTTTCACAGCCAACTCACCTAGGTATAGCCGAGCTACTTCGAGAATCCCCATCAGAAGCAAAAGAACCAGATCCAGGACCAGACAGTTACAAGGATAGCTGAAAACCTGACCTGGGGAACACACACACAGCCAGAACTCAGATCATCGGATTAGAGGCACAATTCCTTTGATGGGCCTGGCACTCATAACTTACTTTTATATGCAATCATCAGGAATGTAGCTAGGAAGTACAGAGCATAGTACAGCCCACTGAGGTGAAACAGCATCTGAAGAGGAACTGACGAGAGCTGGTAAGAAATCAAGGATCCTCAAACTCACCAATGGGTTACACCTACTCAGGTGGCCAAGCAGAGGGGCCTATCCTGCCACCCTGCCACCCATAGCCATAAATCAGCAGGTCTGGGTAAATTCCAACAGAGTACCTACAGATGACCATGGAACCCAGCCACTAGCTTCTGCCTACCTGGGGCTTCTAGTGCTAAAGGGCTCCTGGGGTGGGGTGTCACAAAATGATGTTGGATCCCTCCCATCCCGTAGGGCGTGGCCAAGTACCCCAGATGCAGATGCAGGCAGAACAGAGCGAGTTCTTCATACTGATGAAGTTGTGAGTTACAGAGAGGATCCTTTTCATTTTCTTTAGAAAAAAATGCAATGCTTGGCCATTCAAAGTCAGCGGTTTTTGCCTCCTGCCATGTTAGTTTGGTTGGTGGCAGGCAAGTGGCCATCCCCATAATGTACTAGCCCTTTGAAGGGAACAGGGCTGAGCTGGTGGGTGACAGAGCCAGCACACCAGGGAACACCTTTCCCTCTTACAAGTCACTAATCAAAATTTAAGAAAAAGGGGGGGCGCATGAAAGGCACAAAAAGGTGGAGAGCCAAGTGAGCCAGGCCAGCTAATAGCATGGCAGTGCCTGCTCTAAAGGGGCTTTGCTTGGCCAAGGCCATGGGGAACAGCAGCAGGATACCACCTTGAAGGAGCCTCTCCCTGGAAGACAAAGGATTGCCAGTAAGACATCAGCAGCAGCATGACAGTCACTTAGTTCTCTGATTTCATGTTCATAAACGGAAGTGAACCATGGCCAGAGCTAGGTTCTGGTATCGCTTCTACATCCATCCCTCCTAGGATATTGCTTTCTGATGGAATTTTCTTCACTTCCCCAAACTAACAGTGTGTGGGGGGAGTACTTTTTAAACCCCCCTCCCCCGTGTAGTTAGGCATTCTCTTAGAACAGCTCATGCTCCATGCAGGTGTTATTTCTCCCTCATCTTGTGAGAGTCAGCTCTAGGGTGTAACAGAGCCTCCCCTGTGTCTCTGCTTCTGAAGTTTTGTACTTGAAAATCTGCCTGGCCCATCCCTAGATGGAATGTGACCTGGGTCAGGCTGTCTGTCTGGAGGCTCACACCAGCTGCACACTCATGCTGTGCATGTCTCTACATGTGTACGCACAACATAAAAACTCTGAATTTGGCCAAAACCTCCTATAAAAGAGGCTGCCTTCTGAGCAGAGACAGAGCAGCACCTGAACCCAAACTGAGCACATCTTCCGCTCTGTTCCATGTCCTGTGGGGCTGCAGCAGAAAAGGAAGGGGTACCTTGGTGAGATTCACTCGATTTTGAAGGCCAGCTTGAAGCTGCCTACTCTGGAGATGTGCACTCTTGCATGTGCAAGTCATAAACTGGTAAACACAGGACATTAGTAACAGCCTTTGGACAGTCTCCCAGCAGGCACACGTGTGGGAGCAGGAAGCCAAGAGAGTGTGACTGGAGAGGCATCATGTTTCCACAGGGTGCTCCAGTAAACCCGATCTGTTCTTTTCCAGGCCCCAGCTAAACTAGGCTACCTAGATACCTGTTCATTATTTGGGTTGGTTTTACATTAATTGCCGTTTTCTTTGCTTTGAATACTTTTTTAATATTTAAAGTTTACCCTTTTAGTTTTACGTGTATGGGTGTATGCCTGTGGACTTCATGTATAAAGTGCCAGCAGAGGCCAGAAGAGGGTGTCAGATCCCCTGGGACTGGAGCTACAGATGTGGGTGCGGGGAATCAAACCTGAGATCTCTGGAAGAGCAGCCAGTGCTCTGAACAGTTGAGCTCTCTCGCTAGCCCCCCTTTGGATCCTTTTATAACACCTAGTATCCGGGTTGGGATATATGTAAACGACACTTGTGTAACATGCAAAAGTACTGGTCCAATCCCCAACACTGCCACACACACACCCCAAAAGGTGGCAAAAACATTTAAATTGTATCTGCTGGATGTTTATTGTTTGGGGGTTTTTTGTTGTTTTTTCAAGACAGGGTTTCTCTTAAGAAACCTACACAGGTTTCTCTGTGTAGCTTTGAAGCCTATCTTGGCAATCGCTCTGGAGACCAGGCTGGTCTCGAATTCACAGAGATCCGCCTGCCTCTGCCTCCCGAGTGCTGGGGTTAAAGGCGTGCGCCACCAACGCCCGGCCAGATGTTTATTGTTAAAGATCAAAATTGTGAGACTTGGGAAAAAATACTGTATAGGGAGGGGGCTGGAGAAATGGTTCAGTTGGTAAAAGGACATACTGCTCTTGTGGAAGACCCAAGTTTGGTTCCCAGTACCCACTCAGGAAGCCACAATTACCTTTAACTTCAGCTCCAAGAAATCTAATGCCTTCTTCTGGCTTCTGTGGGTACCTTACACTCAAGTGCTCCCTTCCACATACACATAATAAAAAAATTTAAAAATATTGTATAAAACCCTCAAATGGCATATTATTTATTTATTTATTTTCCAAAACAGGGTCTCACTATGTAGCCCTGGCTTTCCTAGAACTCACTATGTAGACCAGGCTGGCCTCAAACTCAAGAGATCTGCCTGCCTTTACCTCCCGAGTGCTGGAATTAAAGATAGGCTCCACTATGTCCAGCTTAAATGGCATTTTAAAATAACTGACTTAATTAAAATAATTCTACCATTCTCAAACCTACAGGAGTTCATTTGGCTGAACTGCTGTCAGACTTCTGGGACTTAATACTTTTCTTATTATTTTTGGTAATTACGGTGTGGCTACCAACAGATACAAGGCAGAAGTTTACTGTGGAAGTAAAAAAATAAATGTTTTCTGGGTGTGACAAAGACTACAGACACCCTCTTCTGGTAGGAGCTCTTTGTTTTCTTTTGGGGGGGGACAAGGTCTCCTATGTAACCCAGGCTGCCTTGAATTTGTCTCCCAAGTGTTGAGATTATATTCTTTTTTTTTTAATTTGAGACAGGGCCTCATTATCTAGCTCTGACCTGTCTGCCCTAGAACTCATAGCCATCTTCCTGATTCAGCCTCTCAGACTAGTGGAGTGGGCCAACAGCCCAGTCTGGGAACTGGGCCTTTGATGTGACTTAATTCCAAAATGGCTTTCTCACCCCAAAATTTCTTTTTACTATAAACATACACACAACAATAGCACTTCCAAGTCTGTGATAGATATTAAACAAAGCAGTATGGTAGTAAGTGCCAGGCAGCCTAGGTTGCACATGTAGTACAATCACATTTCTGATATTTGTTCCCTTTAAGCAACACTTGGGAGAGTGGATGGATGAATGGACACGAATAGGTCTGAGTTATCTATGACTAGCTTCTGACCCACATTGCTGGCACCTGGCCCTACCCTATATGCTCACACATCATCTGTGTCCAGACCTCCTCATTGGGCCTGGGACTCTACCATGGTGAAACGTAGGCTACAAGCAGCTTCTGGCTGCCCAGGACTCAAGTAAGTCACAAGGACATTGAGTGTGTGTGTGTATACAGGTGTGCATTCACTCAGGGTAAGTTAACATTATGCCATGGTTGTGTTTGGTGTGCACCAGGTTTGCCGGAAGTGTACCTCAGGTATGCCACACATGACTGGGGAGAACTATAGGTATGCTTGGGGTGAGCTGAATGTATGCTATAAATATCTTGAGTGTGTCCCAGAGCAAGAGGCATGCTATGAATAAAATCTGTGGTGAGCTGCAGGTGTGCCAGGGTGTATCCCAGGGCAAACGGCAGGTGTGTCATGTTTATACATGGTCAAAGAATCCCACCAAAAGCCACGGCCCCACGACTTAGCTCAAAGTTCCAAGAAGCCAGTTATTTGGGTAGTTAGTGTAGAGAAAAGCAGCTGACTCTGACTCCAGACACTGAGTTCAGAAGAAAAGCAGTTGACCCCTCCCCTAGATACTCCATGGTTGCAAAAAGAGATAACAGGCCCTGAAGTTCTGAAGATAACAGACCAGTTTGTCTAAGGAAAAATAGCTAACTTACCTATCATGCACTTAGTAAGAGCTCCTTCCCTACCAAACCCTAGCTACAAAAACCCAGCCTAAAGCATGTAATCTGTTGTCTTGAACTCTGGTTATTGAGTGATTGGATCCCTTGCCCTGATCAACCAAGTGGCCAGAAGAACTCAAGTCATGTCTCTGGCACAAACCTGCTTTAGCTGTTTGAGGGAGTCTAAATCATCATCTTTTGTTTCTTCCCACAAACTTAATTCTTACTTATCCTTACACCTGAGGTGATCCGCAGCTATGCCAGGGGTGAGCTGAGAATGTGCTATGGTTTTGACCCGGGCAACCTCGGTATGCTAGTCTGGTGTGCCAAGGGTGTAGCGCATGGTGAGAAACGGGTGTGTCAAGGGTGGCCACGGGGTGAGTAGCCGGTATGCTCAGGATGCGCCGTAGGTATGCCATGTATGTCAGCTGTGCTGAGCTATGGCTGTGTCGTCGGTGTGCCACAGTAGTGTACGCTGGGGGAGCCGCGGGGGTCTCGGGTGCACAGAAGGTGTTGCACGGTTGCATACGGGGGTCCCCCAGCGTGTACCTCAGGTACGTCTCTGGTACACAGAGACGAGCTTCCGAGAAGCCGCCGGATCCCCAAAGTGCCCCACGCCCACGCCCAACCGGAAGACATGCCCCTCCCCAACTCCGGCGCAGAAATCCGGACTAGTGGGCTTCAGCCACCAGGGCCCGAAATTGCGAGGTGACAATTAGAGGAGTTGCAGAGCCAGCCCAAATGGCCTCTCATCGCGACAGCACAACCCCACTATTCCAGCGCCCGTACAGCCCCGCCCGCCTCACCTGGCCGAACGGCCGCCATTTTGCCGCTGGGTCCGCCACAATCCCAGCAGCCTCTTGGCCGCACCCTCCCGCCATCTTCGCTCCTCCCGCCGCGCGGTGCTGCGGGCGTCCGACCGCGGCCGAGGCCCGATTCTCCCGTCCGGCAACACTCGGGAGCTTTCGGACAGGAGGAGGCGGGCACTGAGGCTCCGGAGAACCCTGCTCGGAGACATTCGGCGGAGTTCGGCTACGCCTCGTGTGGGCTCGGCTTCCGCCGCCGCCAGAGGGGGTTGGAAAAATCCAGTGGCGCCAGGGTAGGTCGGCCAACCCAAACTTTGTTGGAAGCCGGCAAGAAACTGTCCAGAACCGACCAGCCCTATCGGCTGGTGACCATAATCAGACCAGTCTCCTAGGCAGCGAGGAAGAGACGCTCATAGCTTTCGTGAAGCTTCGGAACCATTCGTACCGACTCGACTCTTCACTTCGGGAGACTTCGGAGCTTCTCGGTTCTACACTCGGGACATCGGCTCTGTTCGGACGGAGGCTTCGGCTCGACTCGGCGGGCGTCAGACTGCCTCTTCGGTCGCTGCTCGGGCGGTGGCTTCGGGCGGCCTCGGCCCAACTCGGGCGGCCTCTTCGGGCCCTGCTTCGGGCTCGGCGCTTGGCGCTTCGGGCGGTCCCGGACGGCGCCTTCGGGCGGACTCGGCGGAGTCCGTATGGAG